AAAAGAAGGTCATATCTGAGCAAAACACATCAAAATACGGTGAATTTATAGTAAAGCACCGGTCTTTCTCTCGCTGTTATTAATATGTATTTCGTAATGTTTAGACAAGTCTAAGACATTTTTCTTCTATGATATTTCCGCTGGAAATTAAGAATAACCGAGATATTAATTTTTCAATATTATTTGATTTGGCCAGTCACAAGTGTAGTCCTTTTTTCTTGCGGAGAAGGTCTGACCCCACGTCACACAGTCCTTACCTCCGTCTTCGCTTCTTAAGCGTCTACAGGCCATGTACGAAGGGTGGTTCGGGAATTTCTTATTGGCTATAGCGATAGTAGACTTATTTTTGGGCAAGAATTTTTTGTCTTAGCCAATGAACAATGAGTGGGTGCATCGGGAGCAGAGATTTGAATTTTAATTACCAAATATGGCTGAACAGGTGGAAGAGCTGTGCCGACATTGTGATAAATATTATTTTACGTCGACTGCCGAGTTTCAACAGAAAAATAGTGAGGCCATTTCTTTTTTTTAGAAAACACTGTGTATTACCGAACAACGTTATTTGTCCAAAGTGTAATAATCAGTGTACACTCCGTGAAGGACAATACATTTGGTGGTGCCACCCCAGTTTTTTTTCAGCCGAACAGTAAGAAAAAGAAGAGGTGCAACCCTGGTTAGGTTAGGTCAGGTTAGGTCAGGTTTGATTGGTATTTTATTATGTGATTTACTAAAAAAAAAATCAAATTTTTTCATTTAAGATAGTTGGGGGGGGACAGGGTATAAAAAAAATCTTGTGATTTCCGGCAGATATGAACATCAAATTCGTTCGAAACTCATCAAATACCACAAGAAAAAAAATTAATATCCAAAGAAAGAAAGTGCTTTTCTATAAATTTACCCAAAATAATTCAGAAATCAAAAGTCTCGTGAAAAAAATCGAGGGTGTGCTAAAACGATTAATTACCATATAAATTTCCAACAGAAACTCTATAGGAGATAATTGTCTTTGAAAGTTGTTGAAACTAACGGGTACTGATTCTAAAACTTACAATCCTAAAATATGCTACATGACCAAAACGACAATAATAACGACCGAAACAATAATACCCTTAATGTGATTTTTTTTATAGTAGTTCACACAACTTTCCTACACCAAATCTACTATCATATTAGAAAAATGTCTAATTTTTAGATTCAGCGTCTTCTACGATTTTCCGTCGTGTTCCCTACCCGACCTCCCCTCAGCGTGTTCCCCTACCCGACCTCCCCTCCAGCGTGTTTCCCCACCCACTCAGCGTGTTCCCTACAGCCTCCCTCCGGCGTCTTCCCTACCCGACCTCCCTCCCAGCGTCTTCCCTACCCGACCTTCACCCACTCAAGCGTGTTCTCACCTGACCTACCTCGGCGTCTTCCCCTACCAACCCCCTCCCACTCCCAAGCGTCTTCCCTGCCAGGCCTCCCACTCAGCGTCTTCCCTACCGACCCCTCCATCCTTCCGACCTCCCACTAAAGCGTATTCCCTACCGACCTCCCTCAGCGTATTCCTACCCAAACCTCCCCTCAGCGTGTTCCCTGCGACCTCCCTCATGTTCCTGACCTCCCACTCGTGTTCCCTACCGACCTTTCTCCCACTCAGTGTTCCCTACCGACCTCCCCTCGTGTTCCTACAACCTCCCACTCAAGCGTGTTCCCTACCGACCACCCACTCAGCCTTCCCTGACCTCCCCTCCAGCGTGTTCCCCTACCGACCTCCCCTCCAGCCCTACCCGACCTCCCCTCCGTATTCACCCGACCTCCCCTCCGTATTCCCTACCCGACCTCCCACTCAGCCATGTTCCCTACTCCCACTCCAGCGTGTTCCTGGCCTCCCACTCAAGCGTGTTCCCTACCCGACCACCCACTCAGCGTGTTCCCTACCCGACCACCCACTCAGCGTGTTCCCACCCGACCTCCCACTCAGCGTGTTCCCTACGACCTCCCACTCAGGCGTATTCCGACCCGACCACCGCCAGCGTGTCCCTTCATTAATCGTGCTTTTAGTTAGGCGTTTTAGGAGAAAAAAAAAAAGAAGCTAGCATTTTTCCTGGAATCCTCTTGTTGTTCCCCCGCCCTCAGTAAAGTGTCCTAAAGTATAATAAGGATTGTTAATATCGTCCAAGACAAACATAGTTGGCATTGTAGTAACTCGTTCCTTATTCCTAAGACAAAGAAAGCAGGGCTTAATAAGGTAAGAAATAACGGTGATTCTCTCATATGATGAGTTTGGTTACATAAAATCTACCATGAGAGTTGAGTTATGTTAGGTTAGGTTAAGGTCAGGTCAGGATAAGTCAGTCAGGATATAGATTGGAAGTCCAGTCAGGTTGAGTCAAGTCATCCAAAAAAAAGTTGTATTTTATTTTTCTAAAATCATTTTTTTTGTGTCTTTTGTATTCACTCGGCCATGATATTTGTGAACGTCCACCCAAAACCAGTGCCCAACAGGATCCCCTATCTTGTTGGGGGGTAGAAGGGAACAATAACTAAAAAAAACAAGCCATTTAATAAAATCAAGTCCAGAATCAGTAAAACACAAAAATACACTAGAAAACATAGGGTAAAGGTGTAGTTTATATTTAGAGGTTTGATGATTTTCTTTTCTTTTTGCTCTACTTATTGGCTGATGATTTTCATTATATTAAAAAGAAAAAAAGAAGATATTATTGCATTTTCCACCCCATTCCTCCCACTAATCTATTATCATGACCGAATAAAATATCTAATTATAAAATAATTTTCATTTATTACATTAAATACATATGTTATAATAACGGAGATAGCATATCCAAAATTTTTCTATTTTCTTCCATTAATCTTCCTCATTATAAACACCTCCTCCCACACGTTTCCTTCATAAATCATCACGCACATCACGTTCCGTACATATCACGCCCAGCCAATCAGCGTTTTTTGGGGGGCAACTAATTGATAGTGTGGTTTAAATTCATGGTATTTTTGGCCCAATCAAATTCGATTTTTATTTTAGGTCCTCATATTTCAAATTGGAAATTCATTTCCAGAGCCATAAGTCTACAATGAAATTCCTTCAATTATATTGAGCTGATTGCAATTTTTGGGGAAAAAAAACAGAAGTAACTATATTTTTTCGATCTCATGGTGACCTCCGACCTCAGTAAAAAGTGTCCTCCAGTGCAAGAACAGAATCTGAAAATATCGTCCAAGACCAACATGTAGTGTGAAGTAACTTCCTTATCCCAAACACAAAGAGGGAGGTAGCCAATAAGGGCTAAGAAATAAGTAATGATTCCATCATATGGTGAGTCCAGTTAGGTTAGGTTGGAGTTTAGTTAATGTTTTTCTAGTGTATTTTTGTGTATTTTGTATTAAGCAGCATTATTTTTTTGGAGAAATTTTACGGTATAAAAAATGATAAAAAAAAAAGACCAATTTCAGAAGCAGAAATAGAAGGTCATAATACGGTCTAAACACACATAAATACCTGGAAAATTTATTTTTACTTTCTATGCTTTTTAGAGTTGGAGTACGCTTATACCAAATTTACGAAAAGACAACTACATGTAATTTTAAGTATTTTTTTATTTACTCTATCCGCTACAATTCTCCTCGGCGCCATTTTTGTTTGCTTACCTCGCTGAATCCCTCTTTGAGAGAGAAATATTGGTGAGCAGTAAATTTGTTGCACTTCCACCTCCACTCTGTTAGAAGTCAAAAATATATTTTTCTAGTGTATTTGTGTGTTTAGGCCGAATATGACTTTCATTTCCGTGTCGGAAATTGTGATTTTATCAAATTTTTTTTTAAGTGGGGCGTATTTGAAAAAAAATATTCAGGCCAAATACCAAAAATACACTGGGAAAACGCCAAACAAACCTAACCTAATCCTGCTTGAAGCTCTCACCATATGATGAACTCCACCTATTCTTATTAGCCTGGATAGATACCGTTGGATTCGAGATTCTTACCCGCGCCACATATTTGGTCTGCGTCTTCACATTCAGTCTTGCACTTAGGACGCTTGCAAAGGTTGGGAAGGCACACCATGCGATGAAAAAAATGCTATAGTTTCTTCGTTCTTTCCCAAAAACTTCATGGTAACTCCATATAATTGAAGTAACACCCCGCCCTTGAACTTCCATGGAAATAGATATGAATTTCGATAACGGACCCAAAATAAAAATTGATTTTTAATTTGGACCAAAAGCCACATAAATTAAACCCAAACCCATTTAATTTGTTGCACAAACGCTTTTTGATTAGTGCAGCGTGACATGGCAGAAAACATCGCGTGATGATTTATGAAGAAAGCTGGAGACACGCCAGTGTGGGGGAGGTGGTGGTATGGCGGAAAAGATTAATGGAAGAAAATAGATGCAATTTTGGATATGCTATCTCCGTTATTATGCATTACATGATGATATGTGAATGAAAAATATATATAATTGAAGTCATATTAGAAATATGATAATATGGATTAATTGGTGGGAATATTGGAATGTGTATACAAGCATTACACGAATTCACTCCAGATACTTCCTCATACCTCAATATTAAGGTAAGTTATTAAACACATAAATGAACACGTTAACATAGGAGCCTGTATAACCCGGCCTAACAAGCCTTTGGGTATGTTAAGTGCAGTTTCTATGTATTGTCGTTTCCATTTTCTGTGTTTATAAACTATGCTATTTGTGTGTAGAAGCAAATTTCAAGGATTTTTTCTACAAACTTCTTCTGGTGTTGGCCTAAACTACACACTGCCAACACAGTTTGACTTTCTAACTTTGTAGAGTGTACCATCATGCGATATGGCTCCCATGTTGTTGTTGAGTGGGGGGCTTGTCCTTGGCAGCGCCTGAGGTGGCCCAGGGCAGCTGACGCTGTTATAATAAAGTCTATAGAAAACATGGTCTATGACCAACCTCTCACACAAACGAAGATAACAGCGAACTGCAAATTACATAAATGCCAACACAACTTACCAGGCTTGATGCGTTTTGCGTTAATTGAGTGAGACCAGCCCGGTACCTCAACCTTACCACCAACTTGCTGGTGGCTCACTGACAGTCGTGTCCCAAGTTTGTTTACGTGGTATTGGGTGTTCCGACGCCTCCTTAGTTTGGTACCGACCCAGGTTTTGGTTATTCGACAACACCCTATCAGTCAACTTCAGCCGGTAGCAGTTGGTCAGTTTCTTGTTGCTGTTATCAGGGTCTTAAAATTTAAATTGTCCTGTGCTATATACTATATGCTCAGGGGCGGATCAGAAATTGTGGGTGGGGAATATGACGAACTTTGGCGGAAGCCTGTAGCGTGCGTACTATATGTCAGCCAGTTGTCGAGGTCTCTTTGGTTGTCTTTGTGGGGTTATGAGATATTCAGTTCACCTCAGGATGGGATGGAGAAAGGGAAACTCTTTACTGTGCTCACTGTATACATATTGTATTGGATGTACAGTACAGCTTGCTGCTAGTGCGATAATCTCAGTAATAAACGTAGAGTAAGAATGACTGGGTGGTGAGGTGCCAAGTGAGGACACGCAGCTTGAGGAGACTCCTAGGTCGCCGGCGCGGAGGGGGTGTTGCTTGCTGGTGGCACTGGGTAGAAAGAGAGCGGGTCACAGCGGTGTCGGGCCTCATTGAAGGTAGGCGTGGGTGGAGAAATGGTTGTGGTGGTTTCCCTACAAACGCTGTTTATCCTTGAGTAGCCGACCCACAGATTCCACAGTGTGTGCCTCGTGGTCTAGATAACCAGCGCCGCCATACATCACGGGCAGAGGTCAGCTACTAGCCACGCCTACCCCACTGGCTAAGACTCTGAGCCTCGTTGGCAGGCCTGTCTGTTTCTACTACCAGCCCAGCCAGCAGCACCTCCTCCGCCTCCTCTACCTGGCAGTCCTCGCTCCCGCCAGCGAGCATGGCGACCCACAAGCTGTCCTCACCTGTAATCCTCACCAACCAGCTCTCTCTACATCACGCTTGTAACCATGCTGCTTCCCTTTCAGCTGCATTGTACATCAATACAACATGTATAAAGAGGCACATTGGGGTTTAACACCTCATTCATCCAGAGTGTAGACCAAACATCTTGGGGCCCCCACAAATAGGCCCCAGAGTTGCCTCACACAGGATGGAGGAAACCTGATCACCTCCCAGTCTTCAAGCACTGGAAGACTGGCGTATCCACACAAGCTTAGCTCTCATCAACTCTACAACTACCTGTCTCTACACCTGGGTTAGACACTGAGCTTTCTATAAGCGAACACCAGCTCCTCTTCCTGCCCAAGCACCACCTCCTACCGACCCCAGCACACCCCCGTCCTGCCTCAGACACTGACCCAGCAAGTAACCCCTGCCGCCCTGATGCAGCACTCATTCTGATTGCGGACCCACACAACCCTCTTTTCTCCCTCAGGTGCTCCCTGCTAATGTCACCACCCTGCCTGTCTGGACCCCTTCTGTGCAGGCTTCCTCATCCGGCCTTGGCCTTGGCCCCTGCTCCCAGGCCCACACACCCCAGCAGGCGCGTCTGACGACTCTGTACCTGTGAGGGGAAGCACAACATTCATCCTTCACACACCCCTTTTCTCCCTCTCTTCTCCACAGATAGTGTGTATATAGACAGTTGTGTCAGCGACCACGGCTTATCCACGCATCGCCGTTGTCTCTCATGAGGCATGCACCGCCGTTCTGCCTCACATGTGCCTAAGCAACCCTGCAGACAACAAGTCCTCTACACACGCCACCAGGAGAGAGGAGTATTAGCAAGTGGATTTCTCCCCTACAAGCCGCTGTTTGTCCGCTGAGTAGCCGACCCCACAGGAATTCCACAGTGTGTGCACAATGGTCTAGGTCCTTGGCACCCGCCTACATCACCGGGCAGGGTCTGGCTGCAAGCCACGCACCCCCCACTATTTAAGACCTGACCCTCGTTGTTACCTGTCTCTTTCACCTCACCAACCAGCCAACAACACATCTCCATGCTCACTCACCTGCCTGGCACGGTCCTCGCTCCCGCCATGACTTGCCCAACGACCCACAAGCTGTCCTCCTGGGCATCCTGCAACCAGCTCTCTCTACATCACGCTTGTAACCATGCTGCCCAGCACCAAGCTGCATTATCAGCCTAGCATGTATAAAAGAGAGCATTGTGAGTTCCTTTCTCCATTCCATCCTGAGTGTAGACAAACATCTGAACCCCACAAATGGTGACCACAGGAATTCCTCACACAGGATGGAGGAGAAAACTAATCCGCTCCAGTCTTCAAGCAACATGGAAGACTAAGCGTATCTACAAGCAACTCATCAGCTCTACAACTTCTGTCTCACATAAGTTAGACACCCTAAACATCTGCCTCCTAAGCAGGCACCAACTCCTCTTCCTGCCCCAGCACACCCACATCCTACCGACCCCAACACACCCGTCCTTCACTCCAGACGCACTGGCCCAACAGTAACCCCTGCTGCCGCCCTGATGCGGCTCTGTTCCTGAGTGGACCCAGCCTCTTTTTCTCCCTCCGTTACTCCCTGCTAATGTCCTGCACCCTGCTGCCAGCCAATGGACCCAACTGCTGTCACGGAGCCCTCATCCGCTTCTGCTTGGCGCAGCCCCTATGCTCCCTGACCCAAATTTTACACAGCAGGCGCATCCTGACGTCTGCCCCTGCCTGCCGTGAGGAAGCACAACATTCATCGCCTCACACACCTTGCCTCTCTCTCTTCTCCCACAGATAGTGTGTATATGAACAGTTGTATCCAGCGACGGCTTATCACGCCATCGCCGTTGTCACACTGGGGGCATGCGCGCCCGTTCTTACCTCACGTAGTGCTAAAGCAACCCCTACAGACCAACAGTCCCTACCACCGCCTGGAGGGAAGGGGGTATTGTGATGGATTTCTCCCCTACAAACGCTGTTTGTCGCCTGGATGTCGACCCCACAGATTCCACAGTGTTGCTCGTCGTCCACACCTGGGTCAACCAGCGCCGCCATACATCACGGGCGGGGGGTCAGCCCTGCTGGCCACGCCTACCCCCCGCCTATTTGGGAGCCTGACACTCGTTGTGACCTGTCTCTCTTTCTACCTACCAACCAATAGCAACACCTCCCTCATCCTCCTCTGCCTGCCTGGCGGTCCTCGCTGCTCGCTTGAGCATGGCGACCCACCGGCTGTCCTCCTGTAGGCATCCTCCCGCCCAGCTCTCTCTACATCACCTTGTAACCATGCTGCCTTCCCAGCGCACCAAGCTTCCATTGTACATCAGCCTGCTTATGTATAAAAAGAGGCACATTGTGAGTTCTTTCTCCCATTCCATCCTGAGTGTAGACAAACATCTTGAACCCCTAATGGTGACCCCGGTCGCACTCTGGGATGGAGAGAAGCATGATCACGCTCAGTCTT